TTCACCTTCGGGTAGAGCCCGAGTTTCCCGAACATGCGAAGCGGGCCCACGACGCCCCATATTATGGAAGCGTTGTAGAAGACATCGTCTCCCGGGCAAGTCCACGGGCTCCCTTCAGGCAATTTTGACGGGTCGCATATGTTCTCTATGGTCGTTAGTAGCCACCAAGCCGTGCTGAAACAGACCAGTGATGTGATGACCGTGCCCACAAGCTTCATTGAAGAAGAATCGAAATATATTTTCGTTGAATTAGTTGATAGATAGATCAAGAAAGTGGTAGTTTGTGTTGAACAAGTCCTTTTTAAGATACCTGAACAAGGAACATGGATTTTGGGGGGATCTTCATGTAATGACCCAACTTGAAATCTGAAAGAAATGTAATGGCTTGTGACATGCTTATTGTGCCGTAGGTTTTGAAGGCCACGTTGGCTAGAGGCTTTCCAGGGTACATGTAGCCGATAATCATCTCTGAGATAACATTTAATCCTGCTTGCTGAAAGAATAATAATAATAAGAATTAAGAAAATATCATGTTATTTGATTTCAACATTGTACATCATCTAATAAGTACAAAAAAATAACAAACCTGGTTGGTGGTGGCTGTAATAACGCCGACCGGCAGAGTGAAGACGAATGCCAAAACCATCGCTAAAATTACACCCCAATACGGAAGCTGCAACTGTCTCCCGAACCCTTCGCACGCAAACAAGGAAAGCCCAATCACCAAAATCAGGAGAGCGTAAAACCACCATTGAGGCACGGGCTCGTAGTTTTTCCTCATCAACCTCGTGTGCACGTCCCCAAACTTGTCCTGAAAGGACGCTTTTGTCTGCTGCCAAATTGTCCTGAAAATTTTCAACATTTATTATTTCAAAAAAAAAAATTACAGAAAGAAAAAGAAAATCAGCAAAATTACCTCCCATGGAAGAGCGCCACGTGCGACACGGTAGCAGCGAGGCCCGCGAAGCTCAAGCCATAGGCCAGCACGAAAAACACGCTCAGGTTAACCTTGCTATAGCCATCATACCCAGCACGGTTAAACTCGAAGGTGCTCTCGATTAAAATCTCCGAAATGTTATATGCTTTTCCATTAGCATCAAAAACATGCGAGGATATAATGGGAAATTTTCTCGCGCCGTACAAGTCAGTCCAATATGCAACAGGGAGCGCAACATAAACGACCAACACGAACCCGACCAGCATGTTGACGATGGCGAACCCAGGGGTCGCGAGCGGGCTGCCAAGAAAGCCCGCAACAGTTGACCAGTCAAGCGCGAACGAGCCCAGCCCGAGCCCGTGGAGCCCGGAACCTATTTGCTGGGCCGTGACAGAGTCTTTCCACACCCAGCAGACGAAGGAGAGGGCCGTGATAGAGGGAAAGAGGTAGTTCGGGATTATGTAATAAGAGAAGCTTGAGACAAGGACCATTATGAAAAATTGGAGTCTTGTGAGTCCTCCCTTTGGTCGGATTTCGACCTCATGCAGAGCCCGGAAGAGGGAGACTTGGACTAGGTTCGCGGGCCACCACATGTACGGCGAGTCGACTAGATACTTCCGGAAGATTCCAGCCCAACCGTAGCCTAACATCTACATGCACCAGCAAAAGTTGTTGTATGAGTCTCTAAAGGACAAAAATGTGGTTATTAGGAAAAGCTCCCCCTTGAATTTAAAATCTTCAAATTTTAGCCCGGGTTATTCTTTTGTCAATACTCCAGACTTTAGGGTAGTTTTTGTAGTTATCCCAAACAATAAAAAAAAACAGAACAGTGCAGTGTAACTGATAACGGATAACTACAAAAACGACCCCAAAATTTTGCCTAATTACAAAAATAGCTAGCACCATTCCTCATCATGATGCAACTTCCTAAAACAGTGACAAACAACAAGAAGCAAGCTATATGTAGTTTTCGAAATGCACCGTGTTTTTTCAGCTTCGTTAAGCTAAACTCGACGTGCAGCGTTTTTGCAATTTAGTCCTAAAGTATTAGCATCAAACCTGCGTAGTATGCGTCAGCAACAGTGCAGCTACCGGATTAAGCTGACGGTGATAAAAGGCTTTCACAATAGTAATGATATTCACTGCATAAACAGAAGTTGTGCCAGCATTTGCAAATATGGTGATCAAACAATGCTCCTTCAAGTTGAAGGGACCCGGGTTTAACGAGAACGACCATTTTGTCC